TACTGCTACTACGGCTGCACGCCTACTACTACTACTACTACTACTACTACTACTACCACTACCACTACCACTACCACTACCACTACCACTACCACTACCACTACCACTACCACTACTGCTACTACCACTACTACTACTACTACTACTACTACTACTACTACCACTACTACTACTACTACTACTACTACTACTACTAGGAATCAGACTACCATGACAAAAAATGTGATGACAAGCACTGAAAGCCCCATCCTGGAATCCAAAAAACTCTACCAGGAGCCTCATCAGTTCTGACCCCGCTCCATTGTCTCCAGCGAGGTAGAATGTTGGGGTCTAAATAGTTACCAATACTATTTTGGGGGCTTCCTTAATTGTAGCTATTTTGGGGGCTCCTTATTATAATTATAGTATAGCGGGCCCCAAAACCCTAATCTACTTATTCAGGCCCCTATATGAACCCCTACAACAAAAGCTTTAAGTGCACACTAAACACACGAAGCCCCGAAACGTCTGCCCGTCCTCGTCGCCTAGGCCAGACGCAGAGCGCGCCACCGAAGCGTTCCTAGGTGACCCGTTTTAGGGTTCCTGTCCCAAGGGTCCAATAAGTACCCAAATAGTAGGGTTTAAAGGTCCAAAAACCATTCAGGGTATGGATTTGGGGACCTAAAACCCTACTATTTGGGTACTCGGACCCTCTGGGTGTAAGAGCTGCTAGAAGGGATAGGGTTTAGGCTGTATTATCAATTCAAGGCTGTTCAGGAAATGTGAAAAACCGGATGGCAGAGGGTTGCTCTGCAGAAAATGTTACAACCGGCTCGTAGGGGGTTTGAAAAGGGATTTAGATTAAACAGGCTTCCCTACAGAAGACCCCAGATTCGTAGACCTTCCTCCTAAATTGGGAACAATTGGGAACCAAATTTGCTGGCCCTCGATTAAACTTGCGTGTTTATGTTGCCATCCTGCTTCAAGTTTTGAAGCTTCGGATTTAGGGTCTGCGGTTTCAAGCCTGGGTGTAAGTGAAGTCTGCAAGCTGTGTGCTCCTACTAGCTCCTACACCCTCAACCCTAAAACCCTAAACCGCACAACCTACATCCTAAACCCTGCACAGTAGAACCCAATCCCCAAACCCTCTTCGAAACTCTACGTCCCAACAGGAATCCTTACAGAACCTTTGTCGACCCCGGATAGGAACACGTACAGGCTAAGTTATTCCTCCCAGTCCACGCCGCAAGGCGGTCGGGTGCACAGCCCGAGATGCTCCGTAGGGTTTAGGGTTTATAGGGTTTAGGGTTAAGGGTTTAGGGTTTAGGGCTTTCAGTTTTGATTTTGGGGGTGTGGAGTTCATGAAGGGTTCAGGGTGTGTAGATGCTTTATGTACGGGGTCTATAGCGTCTGTGGGGTTGCACGAGGGTTTTTTGTTTTAGTAGTGGGAGTCCCAATGAGCCATGGCAATTATGGATACTCCCTCACCTCACCAGTCCGCCGTACAACTATGCCAGAATAAACCCCAAAACAGCATCCTTACCCTCAAACCTCAGATATGCGAGGTGCATGGCTAGAGGTTCAAGGTCCAGGGTGCAAGGGCATGGGATTTTCTTGGGGCTCTTGAGGGAGCTTCTCTTTCGTGGGGTTCGGGCTGATTCAAACGCTTGTCGAATGAATCGTCACTTGGCCAACGGATCCGATGTGCTTGCCCTTGTCAGTCTGAGCGCATCTGTCCGACTGCAAGACTGTGTGGAACTGCCCGCCTCAGTAAACGATGTGCAACACTGCCTTAAGGACGAAAAGAGCCCTAAAAGGGTTTAGGGGTCATACACCATACAGGGATTCATAGTATAAGTGTATAGGGCCCCATACTTTTAAGGTTCTTTTCGTCCGTAAGGTGTGTAGACAACGCACCCCTGCGATCATGGTGAAGCAAGACCAGCACGGCTGTGGGTCTTCGCATTGACGCTCATGGCGCATGACTTTTCGCTCTCGCTACCCGTAGCCGTTGTCCACACAGGAGACAGCCTCGTGCACCGCATGATTACCTACCTTCCGCTTACAAGACACCCAATTTCGGGGACTATATCGGGGAGTCTGTACAGCCATATGTAAGTTATGCACTGGACCTGCATTCACATGCACCCAAGATCGTGCACAAAGCCGCGTAGACACAGTGCCAGGAGCCCCTGAAGACATGCTTCAATTGTATAGCCGTAAACCGTAGAGCCCTACACTGCAAGCCCACCCTGAACTGACGGCCCCTGAGCATAAACCGCCACACGCTAGGCCTCGAAACCATGAGCTCCACCTATGGGACTCCATTGTACTTCCTCTTTTGGGGTTACCTTATAGGATCCTAAATCCTACCTGGACCCTCAACGTACGTAGAATAACAGCCTTTTATAGGTTTTGGGCCATTATTTTACCTACTTTTGAGGTTTAGGTAATCCTAAATTCTCAAACCCCTGCCCTGACATGACCTGCAGCGGCAGCCAGCAAGCTTCCACAGCGGCACCCGAACCAATGTGCGGCCGGTGGCATAATGATATAGGGGCCTCAATGATTAGAATAGGGTTCCTTTAAAGGGCCCCTTAAAGGGGATACTATAAGGGATAGGGTTTAGGGTTTAGGGTTTAGATGGGGGCCTCAATAATTAGTATGATCATAAGGAACCCCCAAAACCCCGTTCTAAATATTGAGGTCCCTGAACCCTAAACCCTTCTAGTATCCCTTATAGAACCCTTAACCTTTTAAAGGAGCCCTATTCGAAAGATTAAGGACCCTACATTACCTCCCCTTCATCCCCCAAGTTTCAACTCTGAGGCCTCTCCTTCAACGTGCAGACACTGAGGGCGCCGAAGACAAACCGAAACCCACTTCCCCAAGATCAGGGTTCAGGGTTTAGGGTTTAGGTTTAGGGTTTAGGGTTTAGGGTTTAGGGTTTCGGATTTAGGGTTTAGGGTTTCGGATCATTAAGGAGCCCTAAATCACACCAAGAAATCCTACTTAGACCCGGGAGAGCCGAGGCTACAAGGCAGGTCCAAGGTTCGATGCCGCTCGCGAGGATGCGTGCGACGCTGGACGCCTGTCGGGAGCCCAGGAGAACAAACAGTGCCTTATAGTAGCTTTGGAAGGATTGTAGGGCTTAGGGTTTAAGTGTGATTATATAGAGTTGCGATACCTGTTCCAAAGGTATGCTATGTAGGGTCTTGCATCGGCTAAGAAATCAGACCTTAGACAGGAAACCATGCCTGCATGCATGCTAGCTGGCTACATACGTACCTGCTTCCATACATACATGCGTACATACAGACACTCAAACACACAACACCATGCCGTAAATCAGGCTTGTCATGGCTAATCTTGTGTTGATTATTGGTTTGAGTTTGTTGTTACTATATACCGTGTATCTACAAGTATGTAAACATTGTATCAGATATCTCCATTTGCTTGTTTAGAGCTTTCTCTCTCCGTCTCCGGCCAGACTGGCCGACTCACCTCCATAAACCGTTAGGGCTTTGAGCTATGTCTTAGTATGATGATGGTAGCAGCTACCCTAAACCTTAAACCCTAAA